TGTTCACTTCTGCCCTCCCGGAGCCCAGCGGGCAGAGCTCACCCGGCCTTGCTGGAAACCCATCCTCGGGAAACATTGACTTCCCATCGCTGCAAAACAGGAGACTGGTGTAGTGTCTTCCAGAGAGAGTTTGCATAAATCAAAATCTGATTATGCCACATTTTGAATGCTAGATTTTTCACAAGATGGTGAAGCACAGTGATCTATAATCTGTTTTGCATTGAATTAATTGAAATAAATTACCATAATCCTCCCTGAGTCCTGCAATCACTGTTTTTCAGATTGAACCTTTCCCGAGGGTTTAAAAAAAATTGCTTTTTCCATAAGGGTAGCTATTAGACTTAAAAATAATACCTGCCCTTGGAAGAAAGCTCAGCCCCAGCTGAGTACCTTGTTACCTGCTGGCTCAGCCCTTTGTTAATTTGGTAAGTGCTGTGATGTATCACCACAAAAGCCCGTTTTGAAGCCAGTGTGTTTCATCTTGCAAAGAGATTGATTTGAAATTGACCCCGTTTCAAGTGACTAAAAATTGTAAGAGTTTCTAATTAATTCAAGTTTGAGCCTACTCACATCATGCGTTTTCCATCCAGCCTCTGGATCCCAGAGAGTATCTCCAGTTTTATCCAGAGAGGAGGCTGGGGCCACCCAAAGGAGCTCATCCTTCCTTCTGCAGAGTTTCTACAGTCTAGTGCTCACACCAGGGCAGCACAGCAGGCTGGCTTCCTGAAGTATAGAGCTGAGAATTGTGGGGGTTTAGATTTTGGAGCATGTATGTTTTCATCTATGTGACCACACACCCCTGCAGTGACCCACAGGCTCCGAGGCTCACAAAGCTCCTGAGCGCAGAGGAGGCAGCAGGGCAGCAGGGAAAGGCAAACTCAGGGCACCTTTGTTCTCCCTCCAGTTCTGACATAGCTCAGGGGCTTATGTAGCTCTTGGCAGCCACTGGAAAATCAAAAAAATCAAGTGACTGCTCTGTCTAACTTGTGCTCTTTGGTTCAGCCCTGAGCAGCTGCAGAGGGAGTGTTTGGGATGCAGCCTCAGCCTCCATCCCTGCTCTGAACTGCTGGGGATGTTCTGGGGCTGTACCCTCCATCCCTGCTCTGAACTGCTGGGGATGTTCTGGGGCTGTACCCTCCATCCCTGCTCTGAACTGCTGGGGATGTTCCTGGAGCTGCAGAGGGAGTGTTTGGGATGCAGCCTCCATCCCTGCTCTGAACTGCTGGGGATGTTCCTGGAGCTGCAGAGGGAGTGTTTGGGATGCAGCCTCAGCCTCCATCCCTGCTCTGAACTGCTGGCCATGTTCTGAGGCTGTACCCTCCATCCCTGCTCCAGCTGCTGGGGATGTTCCTGGAGCTGTACCCTCCATCCCTGCTCTGAGCTGCTGGCCATGTTCTTGGGGCTGCAGAGGGAGTGTTTGGGATGCAGCCTCAGCCTCCATCCCTGCTCCAGCTGCTGGGGATGTTCTGGGGCTGCAGAGGGAGTGTTTGGGATGTAGCCTCAGCCTCCATCCCTGCTCCAGCTTCTGGCCATGTTCTTGGGGCTGCAGCCTCCATCCCTGCTCTGAACTGCTGGGGATGTTCTGGAGCTGCAGAGGGAGTGTTTGGGATGCAGCCTCAGCCTCCATCCCTGCTCTGAACTGTGGGGATGTTCTGGGGCTGCAGAGGGAGTGTTTGGGATGCAGCCTCAGCCTCCATCCCTGCTCCAGCTGCTGGGGATGTTCTGGGGCTGCTCCAGCTGCTCTTCCCCCAGGTTCTGCCATGCAGCCCTCTCAGGGCACACAGCTCCAAACCCTCCTCCTCCTGGCTGGCCACTACTGCTGTTCCACAGCATCTCTGCCTTTTGAAACAACCATATTAAAAAATATATATTACACCTGTTGGCATTTCAAGATAGATTCACAATTTACATAAAGCCAGTGTCACCTCAGGGTAAAATCACCCATATAAAGGGGAAAAAATAAATTAAAGTTTACACTATAGACAGCTGGGAATTCAGCTAAAGCCACAGGGGAAGGAAGGCTTTCTTTTATAATGAAATTACAACTTTTTAAAAATAATCACACTACTATGTGAATATGAAATATTTAAATTCAGGCTGTGGTTAAATTTGCTTAAATAACGCTCTGATTTCAGTGGGGTTACAAAAGAATGGAGAATTAGGGACACACATCCACAGAATCAGAGAATATGTCAAGTTCAAATTCAAACGGTGTTAAGTCAGTGCACAAACAGAACTTCAGTCATGAATTTATATTAACAATTCTATTGTTGGCACAGGGGACACCAAACGCATTTGCTTAGGTGTGTTTATATCCTGGAATAATACAGTTTATGTCTGCCCATGAGTATGCACAAACACGTTTTCCAAATGAACTCCAGTTCCTCATCAGTTAATTGCTGTTAATGACAGTGCTGAAAACCCAGGTGGTGACTGGTGCCACACCTGGAACAGCTGCACCCACGGAGCACCCCAGCCTCCCAAAGACTGTGAGGAGCCCGGGAATGCCTCTCCCTGGGCCCTCAGCAGCTCCTCAGACGGGTTTGGCTCCCTGTCCCCAAGGCACAGGGTGACACAAGCCTGGTTTCCCTGCAGACAGAGCTGCCACAAACCAGACGGGTCAGACAGGTCAAGGCCTCACCTTTAATCACCATGGGGACCTTCTGGTTTAGCAATGCTGAACTAATCTGTGCCAGGTCAAAAGTGCTTGAAGAGAATCCAGAAAGTTTAGGAGCTTATAATTGGCTAAATAAACACACACCTCAATTTTTATGCTACTGGTCTGATAGTCAGTGAGTGCAGGCACACAATTCCTTATTTTCTATGCCAGAAGTAGAAAAATGTGGATGTTTCCCAAATTGTGGATACCAGATACGAGTTTGTACATATGCATAAATATTTATTCTCAGCAATCTGTAATTGTCACTGCAGAGGCTGAAATACAGTTATACTGTAAGGGAATAAATGCCCCAGTATCTGTGAACTCTAATTCACTCCAGGCTGACCCAGTTCTTTTGGAAATAATCTTTTCCAAGCAGTTTCTCTGCTGAAAGTCCAGGCCTTAGAAATACCTTCAACATACAGTGTTCTCCTTAAACTTTATTGCAAAAATAGGTGGAGACATGGCATGTATTTCTGGAATCTGTGCAGCCTGTGCTACACAGCAACTCAGAAGTGAATCTTCTCTCTAGTTTTTCCTTTAATTAAAGGAGAAACCAAAAGATCCAACAACCAAAGGGAAAGAAAACCCACACTAAAACAAACATAACATTTGAAACAAGAAACCCAGCAGAAAACATCCAGCCAATCTGGGATGCAGCAGAGTATCCCTAAAAGAAGGGAAATCAGATTGCAAACAGAAACTCAATGACTCAAGCACTTTGTTAGCATGCGTTCATCTTAACTTTGGTCAGCATCAGTAAACTTGGCAGCAAACTCCCCATGTGAAAAGGGGGTACAGTGATACTGCTGTAGCTCATTCAGGGGATAAAATTATCACTAATCTCATTTTTCAGCACACACAGCTCCCAAGTCCCCTGAGTCACATTGCAACAATCATCACTATAAAGTTCCACAAGCTTAAAAGAGATTTTGGTGATTAGTGGTGTAGGGAAGCTCAGTCTAAACACCAAACCCATCCCTGGTGGAGAACACACGTTGTACAAATGTTTTTTGCACTTTTGAACCTGCTTAGCAATGTAAGGAGGGAAGAAACCCAGTAAATCCATAATGCAGACACGAAAGGATGTTCTATACCCAAAATGGAGAATGGAGCCCATCTCCCAGCGGGACATCCTGCTCCCTGCCCTGCCCCACAGCACGTCTGGCCCATGGGGAGCCTGGCACTGTGAGTCCTGCTGCCAGCCCTGCCTGCCCAGCCTGGCACATCCCACCCTGCCCAGCCTGGCACTGTGAGTCCTGCTGCCAGCCCAGCCCAGCCCAGCCTGGCACATCCCACCCTGCCCAGCCTGGCAGCCCAGCCCTGCCCTCCCTGGCACATCCCACCCTGCCCAGCCTGGCACATCCCACCCTGCCCTCCCTGGCACATCCCACCCTGCTCTCCCTGGCACATCCCACCCAGCCCAGCCCTGCCCAGCCTGGCACTGTGAGTCCTGCTGCCAGCCCAGCCCTGCCCTGCCCAGCCTGGCACATCCCACCCTGCCCTCCCTGGCACATCCCACCCTGCCCAGCCTGGCACATCCCACCCTGCCCAGCCTGGCAGACCCCACCCTGCCCAGCCTGGCACATCCCACCCTGCCCAGCCTGGCAGACCCCACCCTGCCCAGCCTGGCACACCCCACCCTGCCCAGCCTGGCACATCCCACCCTGCCCAGCCTGGCAGACCCCACCCTGCCCAGCCTGGCACATCCCACCCTGCCCAGCCTGGCAGCCCAGCCCTGCCCAGCCTGGCACATCCCACCCTGCCCTCCCTGGCACATCCCACCCTGCCCTCCCTGGCACATCCCACCCTGCCCAGCCTGGCTTCCATCGGTCCTGAGCGCTGCTCCTGCCCCAGCTCACCCCAGGGCAGCACAGCTGGGGAGAGCATCCCCGCCCAGCAGAGGAAGTTAAACACAGGGCACATCTTGTGCCTTTCAGGACACGTTTTGTGCTCTTCAGGGCCACAGAAATGTGCAGTTTTGGTCTCCAAAGTGTACCTATTTTATGCTACTACAGGAAGTGTTGTTGGAATATCTGCAGAGATTTCTCTTTCAAGCTGCCTCTCTGGACAGCGTGGATGCAATACATGGCCCCTGGATTGCTGAAACTGGGATAACTGGAGGAACACTACAGAAACAAAGAATTAGATGAACATACCACAAATGAGAAACTGGGAAGGGACATCTGCTATAAATACTGACCTGTACCTTTTGCAATACCTGATTCAGAGGAAAGAACAGCCAGCTTCGATTTCATTTTCACCCAGAGGTCCATTTACAACCACCCTCAAAATCAACCTATAACATCCCCTTTCACCCCAGTGTAACAAATTAACATGATTGTATCAAAAGGCAAAAACTGTAGCAATTTATTGATATTCTGTCCAGTCTCATTGCTGCAGCATTTTTTGCACAATCATTATTGGTCTGTCAAGGAGAGGAGAAAGATCTGGCATCTGTCTGTACCTGAACATCAAATCTTTTAATTAAGCACTTTTTATAATGTTCACTTAGAGAACTTTGTAGAAATAAATGGGGTTTAAGTCCTTGCAGCTGAAGTCACATCTCAGGCGCCATTTTCCTAAACCTCTCTCTGTGTCAAGGACTACAAAACAAAGCTATGGCTTCTTGATCAGTCTGCTCTTCACCCAAACCTCCAAAAGACCCAAGACTGCCAAAATGAAAAACAGAGTCAATACAGAACAGCTGCTTCCAATATTTTAAGATTCACTTGGATGACTTGCAATGGTTAACTGACTTCCAATTTTACAGTGGTTTGGGTAGGATCTGGGACCTGCTGGATAGTGCAGATTAAGGATTTGAGCTCTTGCCTTATGCACAATATGCACCTCTGGCATGGACAGCAGCAAAGCAGCCCTGCTGTTGGCTGGAGCAGTTGTACCCTTCAGAAATTTAAAACAGAGAAAGAGCAATGGCTGCTCTGGAGCTTCCTGCAGGAACATCTCTGCTCATCATCATCACTGAGCAGTTTTTGTGGGGGCTCCTTCAGCACCACAAGGGCTGTCCCATAAGGAATGCTCCAGAACTGAGGTCACTGAGGTGAGATCATCTGTGGAAAGGGAGGAATTCTGATTCCAGCCCCAGTGAAGTCAGATCACACACACACACACACACACACACACACTGAGTCTTCCATGGGAAACACAGCAGGATTTCTGATGGCAGACTAACAAACTCTACACAAATTAAAACATAAAATCAACAAAAAAGCCCAAATCCCCAGCACATGCAGCCCCAGCAACACACTTGCACTCCATTTCTCATCACTACAGCTCACTTGAATATCTTTTGCTTTTTGCACTGAAAGTTTGCTCTCAAATCCCTCTCATCTGCCGCACACACGGTCACCAAAGACTCTAACACAAAGTTCTACAGCTTGGGCAGATGCTGGATTCCTGCAAAAGGGAGGTTCTCAAACAGTGCTGCAGCAATGTGACAGGAAGGAGAGTCTGACACACACATTTTGCACGAGGCTGCAGGAAACACTGTAGGACCAGGCTGTAAGCTGTGAATATCAATATTTAAAACCATTTCCCCTTGGAGCTGAGCTCACACACGTTTGCTCCTAGAGCAGGTCTCAGCAGAACACGAACAGCTCTGCCCAGGGGCGCAGTGAGGGCTGGCTCAGAGGAGCACCTGGGCTCTGGACAAACCTGGCCAGGGACAGAGCTCTGATGGCAGCAGGGCTCCAGCTGGCTCCCATCCACCTCCTGGGAGCACCCATGCACCTGTGCCACTCCTTTGGCACAAAATTCTGAGAGGACACGCAACCTTCTGCATTTTGTGACTCCTGGAGGAAATCTGCCCCCGAAGAACACCTGCACACAATGAGTACCCGAGTGAGGAAGCCATAAAGAGCCAGCTGCCCTTTATTGAAAATGCCCTTTGCAAACATCTTGCCGTACATTCTTTGAGAGGAGCAGCAGCAGCAGCGGGTCCAGAGGCAGGGAGCAGCACGAGGTCCATCCTGAGCACCACGCTGAGCAGCAGCACGCTGGGCTGGGCACAGGGCACAGGGCACAGGGCACAGGGCACAGGGCACGGATACAGTCACGGGCACCCGCGTGCCAGACGCGCTCCCCTGCAGCACAACAGGCTGGGCTTCTCAAAAATACAATCATTATGTACAGCAAAGTATGTGGTCACAAGACCAGCCTTAAACCAAGGCCTTGTTTACACAATTTCTGCGATGTCAGGAAGGATTTTGGCTGGGAATGTAATTTTTCTTCCAAAACAAGTAAATATTTGCAATTCTCACTGTGAAAAGAGTGATATACCACCTCTGTATTGACATGGGTGTAACATATTCCCACAGGGAAAAGGAATAAAGAGTACCTTTAGATTGATACAACATTTCCCTCAAGTGTCCAAGCTAATATAGCTTGCATCACTCAGTCAAGTTAAAGCAGGATGATTTTTTCAGACTTTTTATAGACAAGGCCTATGTTTAACAAGCACCAAAACACTTCAGAGTATTTGGAAGATCAGACTACTGAGCTCTACACTTTGGACTGTCCTCACCAGTCACAGAGAACATGGAATGCCCAAATACATTCAAAACCCTGGTCAGACAGTGCCATGGCTGCTTAAACGCTTCACTCTTTAGCAAATGCACCTTTTTGGCCAAAAGCAGAATGTGCCACAGGAAGGGCAGCACAGCACAGAGCTCAGCTGGCTGCCCCCAGCTGCTCTGCCAGGCTCAGCACAGCTGGACTTCGTGTGCTACTTTTGCTTTATTCCTCAAGCCCAGCTCAGGCAGGAGGCACTGGGGAAGGTGAGGGGTCTGCTGGCTCTGGCAGGGCACAATAAATACCTGCTCTTATCAACCACATCAAGCTGCTGTCAATGCACTGATCGAAGCCTGGTGGGTGCTGAAAACTGTACATTCCCATTGAATTTAAGGCAAAATTGAACCATGGCAGTAACTGAGATGTAAATTTATTTTTTTTAACATCAGGTGTGCAGTTTGTAAGCTGCAGATATGGCAGCAGTCAAGGTCCCTTAGCTCTCAATGCAGTTCCTGGGTTAAAAGAAACCCTTTCTGTCTGTGTCATTCCCCTGTCTCCCCAGCACGGGAGTCCTCTGGCTTCTAAAGAACTTTCAGGAATTCCTGGAAGAGGAGCTGCAATGAGGTTTTCAAGTTTCAGTGGGAAACGGGGGTAAACTGATGTGTTGATCAGAGGGAGAGCCCAGGCAGCAGGGGCATCAAAATGACACTGCCCTCCAGGGCTGGGGCACAAAGTTCTCCTGCCGAAAACAGGAGAAATTACCAGGGTCACAGAGGAATCGTGGCCGTCGCTGTTCAGTTGGCCTGACTAAAAACCCCTGTTCAACCTTTGTTTTTGAGATGTAAGATAATTTCAAGACTTCTTGGGACAGGGGGGAGAAGGAAAAAGAGAGCTGCTGCAGGTTTTGTGTGCAGACCTTTAAAGAAGGGCAGAGAGAGGGAAAGGACAGGTAAAGCAGCTCCTTGGGCCGTGCAGCTGATGGGAGCCACGGGTCTCCTCCCACCCCAGCCCCTCTGCAAGCCAGAAAACAAAAAGGGCTGGTTTGTAACTTTACATATAAACGAGACTAAAAGTTTTAATTTCATAATGAATTGACCTTTAGAACTTCACCCCAATAAACCACGCTGCTTCCAGCAGGGAAAAAGGACCAAATCTTACAGGGCCTGTTGCAGTAAGCCCACACTCCCTTCTTAAAGCTGCCTTCTCCCCACAGCTTGGCAGCATACTGGGCCAGGACCTGCATACAAGCAAAAACCTGCATCAAAAATGACTGAAGATCAGGTCAAACAGCAATCTTGTGGTTGGCCTTTTTTTCACCACTGTTCTCAGCTAAATCGACCCCTCCACCTTTCAGTGCTACTGAGATATAAATCTGGATTAAGAGCCTGTGTGAAAGTCAGTGTTTCATGTGATACATAACAATGCACAAAGTTGTTTTCTAAAAAACAGCATTTGTATTAAAATTCTTCAAATGGATAGACATCTCTTCAATGCATGTCTGCAATTAAAATGACAGTTGTTAGAATTTTCTTGGTACATCACAAAGATAAGATTTCCTTCTTTGCTGGCTGGAGGCACATCCCACGACAAAATCAAGGGGAAATAGAACCAAAAAATTAAAAAAAGCCCCCCCACCCAAAAATCCCAAAAGGCTAAATTCTTGTAAATTTGAAGTAAATGAAGGCCAAACTTGCAAGACATGGAAATAACACTTAAAAGGCTCAGATGGAAATAAGAAATAAATTCCACTAACAATAGGCCCTTTTGTCCTGGCTTGCTCGGTGTGATTACTGCAAGGAAACTGTTAAGTAGTTTTTGGAGTAGTAGATAATGGGATTCTGTGGAGCTTTCACAGGTTGGCACCGGCTGGAACAGCTGAGTTTTGAAGGCACTCTACAGACACAGGGCTGCCGTTGGCCCTGCATCACTCATGGGAAGTCTTTGCACTTGAGAGAGCTAGTCATCAAAATCAGGGATTGCCAACCCAAATCCAAAACCCCTCGGCAAAAAAAGCACCACCGCCCTCCCCCTCCCGCCAAAGGAAAAACCAAAACCACAACGAAATCACACACACACGCACACCTAAACAATTGTGCAGATTTGTAACATTTTCACAGCTGATTTAAAAAAAAAAACCAAAAAACCAAACAAAACCAGGAGAAAAACCACCACGCTACCACTCTCCTGCAAACTCCCATCCGATACAGCAGGTAAACAAAATAGAGCATTATTCCAGGGGTATCGGCGGCGCTGCCCGGCGCCCCGTGCCTGGCAGCACCGATCGGGTCACAGTCCCAGTTCCATGTGCAACTCTCCGGGCGGGACGGCCCCGCACCGCTCCCGCTTGCATAGAGACGGCGGGCAGCGCGCCGGGACGGGCCCGCTGCACCGGGACGGGCCCCGCTGCACCGGGACGGGCCCCGCTGCACCGGGCTGCTGCGGCCCCGCTGGGCCGGGGCTGCGCCGGGGTTGTCCCGGGGCTGTCCCGGCGGTGCGGCCCCGCTATCCCGGGGATGTCCCGGGGCTATCCCGGGGCTGTGCCGGGGCTGTCGCGGGGGTGCGGCCCCGCTGTGCCGGGGCTGTGGCCCCGCTATCCCGGGGCTATCCCGGGGCTGTCCCGGGGGTGCGGGCCCCGCTCCCCGCCGGGCTCCCCGCGCCTGTCCCGGGGCGGGTTCCCCGCGTGGCTCCGCTCCCCGGGCGGCGGGACCGGCCGCTCCCGCGCCCGCCGCCGACACTGACAGGAAATATGCCATGACCGAGACTGGACGAAACGTACATGCCGAGAAAAGCCACATTTCCACCACGATGAGTTTTGCTGCCGATGTTTTCTCCCCGAGCGTGCCCGCCGGGGCGCGGGGCCGCCGCCGCCCTCAGAGGATGGCGCAGGAGGCGCAGCACGGCTCGTCCCCGTTGGGCTGCGCCGCGTAGTTCATCTGCCTGACGATCTCGGCGAACAGCTCGTCCACAGAGGCTTTGTTTTTGGCCGAGGTCTCCATGAAGGGGCAGCTCCACTCCTCGGCCAGCGCCTTGCCCTCCCCGAAGGAGACCTCGCGCTCGCCCTCCAGGTCCACCTTGTTGCCCACCAGGATCATGGGCACCCGCTCGTACCTCTTGACGCGGATGATCTGGTCCCGCATGGGCTTGATGTCCTGGAAGCTCTGCTGGTTCACCAGGCTGTACACCAGAATGAAGCCCTGCCCGTTCTTGATATAGAGGTCCCGCATGGAGGCGAACTGCTCGGTGCCCGCCGTGTCCAGGATCTCCAGCACGGACGGCGACGAGTCCACCTCGATCTCCTTGCGGTAGAAGTCCTCGATGGTGGGGTCATACTTCTCGATGAAGGAGCCGGTCACGAACTGCACGGTAAGGGCGGACTTGCCCACGCCGCCCGAGCCCAGCACCACCACCTTGTACTCCCGCATGGCTCCCGCCTCCCTCCGCCGCCTCCCGCTCGGGGCTGCCGCGGCGGGCGGGGACGGGGCGGAGGGAGGGAGGGGACGAGGGACGGCCCCGCGCCGGGGCGGGGAAGCGGCAGCCGCGCCTTGCGGAGCGGCGCCGGGAGAGCCCCGGCGCCGGGCAGCGCCGAGGAGGAGGAGGAGGAGGAGGAGGAAGGGGCTGAGGAGGAGAAGGGAGGGAGGGAGGAACGGAGGGCGACAGCGCTGCCGGTACCGGCCCCGCTCCCGGCGCGGCGGGGCGGGACAGTGCTGCCGCGGCCCATGGCGGCCGCCCCCGCCCATTGGCTGCGGCGCTTGGGCCGCCCCCGCCCATTGGCTGCGGCGCTTGGGCCGCCCCCGCCCATTGGCTGCGGCGCTTGGGCCGCCCCCGCCCATTGGCTGCGGCGCGGCGCCGCCCGCCCCCATTGGCTGCCGGCGGAGAGCGGCGGCCCACGCCCCGCCCCGCGTGTGTGACCCCCGCCCTGCGCCGGGCCGGGCCGCGCCCGGGGTCGGGATCGGGATCGGGATCGGGATCGGGATCGGGATCGGGATCGGGATCGGGATCGGGACCGGGATCGGGATCGGGATCGGAACCGGAACCGGGATCGGGACCGGGATCGCCGCGCGTCCCTTCCCGCCCGGGGCCCTCCGCACCGGGACCGGGACCGGGACCGGGATGGGGATCGGGATCGGAACCGGGAGCGGGAACGGAACCGGGATCGGGATCAGCGCGCGTCCCCTCCCGCCCGGGGTCCCGCACGCAGCGGGGAAATGGGGCCGGCGGTGGGGCCGGCAGCCCGGGTGCCCCACCCCGGTGTCCCCGCCCGCTATCGGCGCTGCCCGGGCCGCCGTCCCGCGCCTCCCTCCCTATCGCCGCGTGCAGCCGCTGCCGGGCCGGGCCGGGTCGCGGTGCCCCGCGGCTCCTGCCCGCCCCGCTGCCTCCGGGGGCTTGCCGTGCCCCGTGCCCGCCGGGGCCAGCCCGCCAGGACACCCCGTGCCCGGTAACCCCGCGCTGCGGGTCGGGCCCGGCCGGGGCTCCGGCGGGAGATGTGCCCGTGCAGATGTGCCCCTGGCAGATGTGCCCATGCAGATGTGCCCGTGGCAGATGTGCCCGGTGCAGATGTGTCCGTGGCAGATGTGCCTGTGCAGAGGTGCCCGTGCAGATGTGCCCCGTGCAGATGTGCCCGTGGCAGATGTGCTCGTGGCAGGTGTGCCCCTGGCAGATGTGCCCCTGGCAGATGTGCCCCTGGCAGAGGTGCCCGTGGCAGATGTGCCCCTGGCAGAGGTGCCCGTGGCAGATGTGCCCCGTGCAGATGTGCCCGTGCAGATGTGCCCCTGGCAGAGGTGCCCGTGCAGATGTGCCCGTGCAGATGTGCCCGTGCAGATGTGCCCGTGCAGATGTGCCCCTGGCAGATGTGCCTGTGCAGATGTGCCCGTGCAGATGTCGGTGCTGCTGCACTCGGTGGCCCCTGAGCGGCAGCGTGGCCTGGCAGGGCTCAGTCCCCGGGCTGGCTCCTGCCGCTCTTTGTAGAAGCCGTCCCCTGGACTTGCTGTTAGACATTCCTTCCAAGAAAGTATCATTGGTTGTTTTGACACCCTCCGGCCCTTGCTGTTGCGTCTTACTCAGTTCTTTACAATTCTCGGTATTTATTGACATAATGGTGACATTTAGATCCTTGCTACCACACCTTGTTTCCAAGCCTAATCTAAACACAGCGCTTGGGTAGGCAAAGTCTAAGGGATTTGATATAAGTTTTGTAAATAATGTTCTCTTATTCCTGAACAATTTTCACAGAGGCTAAATTCTACTGAAATCACTTCTGCAGTATTCAGGTGCTGTGGGGATTTACCCCCGTGGTGACCCATCCTCTGGTGAGTACTGCACCCCTGGTGATCCCCTGGAGCTCCAAGGGAACCCTGCTGCTGCTGCTGGTGTGTATCTTTGCAAATAAACCTCTCCTGAGGAACAGAAACGCTGTGTTCAGCAGCCCTGCAGTGGAATGGGCAGGGGCTGGAGCAGCTCTGTTAAATATGAGAGTGTGTGAAGCCTGTGTGTGGTTTGTGGGTGCAGCCATGGCAGCTGGGTGTCCCCAGGTAGGGTGCTGCCCTGCCAGGCCCCACCTGATTCCTGCCAGGTGCACATTCCTCTCTCACACTGCAGCGCCTGTGGGCTGCAGGCTGCTCCTGAGCTGCTGTGCAGGTCAGCCTGGGGCTGCAGCAGGTATTTGATCTGCCAGCACAGCCCCGGGCTGGGCTTTGGTCCCCGCTCTGTTCTAGGCTCTGCCCAGGTAAGCCTTGCCTTGTGACAGGCTCTGGGCTCTGCAGCTCCTGCAAAGGCTGAGGAAGAGCTCTGGGTGCTTCCAGCCTCTTGTTCTGGGAGTTGTCTCTCCGTGGCTGCTTAGCCCATCCTTTGGAAACTGAACAACTGAGCTCCCTTTCAAGCCATTTCCCCACCTGTTCTTGCTGTTCCTTTCACTGTCCATCTGATTCCCCCTCCCAGAAGTACTCTGGGAGCAGAGCTACCACATCACCCAGCTTGGTGTGAGCCAGCCAAAATCAGTCACAGGCTGGCAAAGTTCTCTTCAAAAGCAGCTGTAAGAATTGCTGAAAGGCCCCGTGTCACTGCAGAAATATTTTATTTTCTTAATCTGTGCTCAGGTTTTGGGTATGATGTGGGCTTGCCCACCTTCATCACTTCTGTAGCAAACCCACATCTGAATTATTCACATTACACTTGCTCTCAGCATGCCAGTAGCCAATTTTATAAAGACCAGGCTGTAATGTTGGTTTTAGTCCTATCTATTTAGTCCTATGCACCACTGCTGGATTGTGTTGTTTTTTTCAGTGACAGAATAAAATTGCTCTCCATTTTTAAATTCTTCACTCTGCTCTTAATTGTTGCTGTTCTGAAGAAGGAAATGTATCATGTTCAAAGTAAGGAGTGATCTTTGTGCTGTTGAGTTTAAATATGGAATATGATTTGTCAAGTGCCAGTGCCCTACTACATGTATTAATTTAATCTCTCATATTACCAGCCAGCTCTAGGTAATTAGTTAGTGCAAGGAGTCTGTGGGAAGTAACTGAAAGAATCAAGTCTGGTTTTCTCAGAAATGAATTCTGGTGCATGGTTACCGACCACTGAGGGATCTGTGGGCTGGAAAGTTTGAAAATCCCTGGCTCAGGGTTTGACACAGAAGTTAAATAAATAAATAAATTATGAGAGGATGCAGCACATAATATTTGAATTATGAAGCATGCATTGCATTGGGTGGTTGTGCCTCATGAATGGTACTGGTTTAGATTTTCAGCAAAAAAATTAATGTTTTCCTGAAACCAGCTCCAGTTGGGTAACATGAAGGTATGAAATGCAGCAGGGTCTAGGCAAAATATAATCACCTGAGTTGGCTTATTAATTTGGTTTTCAAAGTGATCAAGCATATTTTAAAAACAATTTCAGGATGATTTGGTGCTGTCTTAAAAATGCCAAAATAAAAATCAGCTGAAAAGCATAAATTTGGTTACTAAGCAGTTCACCATACAATATTCACATGTATAACCAGCTTTTACTGTGCTGAGTAACCCTGCTTGTTCAGTAGAACTGCTCGTACAGGCTGAGGTTATTTCTGTGCACAGAGAGTGAGTCGTGAGCTGCTGCTGTTGGAGATCTTTGTGCAAGGAAAGCAGTGCCTTTGGTGGGTTTGTCTATCTATTGTACTTGGCAGGCAAAGATTAAACAGGGGTAGTTTAGATCAGTAACAGGTGCAGTATCTAAAGTTTGAGTACCCTGACAGTTTGTCAGTGCCTGGTGACAACAAGATTTAATGCTACAGAGGGAGGTTAAAACCTCCAGGTGTTCCTGAGTTGTAAGCAGCTCTTCTTTAGAGAGGCACGGCCACGGTCAGAGCTGAGCCTGCAGAGGGATGTGTCACCCCCTGGGACCTGACCCAGTCCCACTGAGCTTATTTAGGGAGAGCTTTCACAGAGGGACTCTGCTGCCCCCGAGGAACAGAGGCTGCTGTGGGCGTGGGCCGGGCTTTGAGGTGTTTGTGTTTGTGCACAGGTTTGCTGCTGGGTCTGCAAGTGAAACTGAGCTGCAGTCTGGGAAATGGGCTCTGGTGAAGCACACAGAACATGCCAGAGCCAGGTGGGACAGTGTGCCTCTCTGAAATCTGCAGCTCCTGGGCAGAAAGAGCTGCTTGCCTTCACTCGGAGTTTCTCTGCCCCTGTTAGTGCTACACATTGAAATAAGGTTATTAATACAGGGGAAGTTCTTGTGAAAGAGACTTCTGAGATCATCGTGCTCTGCCAGGTACAGCTAGGCAGGGTCATAATTGAACTTTAAAGCTACAAATCACACTAAATGTTGTATTTTAATTTCTCAGCACTGCTGCTGAGAAAATCCCAAGGGAAGTCACGGGCTGAGGATACTGCACATCATTTCATTCCTAAGATGGCAATGTTCCCTGGATATAACAGACATACCCTACCACTCACTTAAGATTAAGTGACTTAGCTGGCTCACAACCCAATATAAAACAGTTAAACTGAGAAGATTCAATCACTTGGGGAAGAGTTGCTGTGCTGTCACTCCCGTGCTGTCAGTATGTGACATTAATATTAATAGTAAACCTAAAGGTAAAGGGAGAATAATTGCCAAGGGAAACTAAGAAGATGAAATAATCTCGGAGTTCAAAGAACAGAATTGCACCAAATGTTTTCTGGCATTGAACAAATCTGGAGAGATTTTTCAATGTTTACTCATTTTGAATGTATGAAATTGAGCAAGATTTTGGGGCCTGAATTAGTCTTTAGCACAGTGATGTGCAGAGAAGTCTTTATTTTGGATTTGGCAGCAGGACGATTTAGGTTGCTTTGGAGGGGTTGAGGAAGGAGAAGATGACAAAAATAACCTGGCATCCAACAGCATTTAAATCCAATATTTTACTTATCTGCACCTTGAGAAATTCTCAATAATTCTGTATCTGCAGCAAGCCTGCCTAATGTGTGTTTCTCGTAATGCAGTGGCATTGCCAGTTCCCGTGGCAGGAGCAGGCTGTGCCCAGGGGCAGCCCGAGGAGCCAGGGCGGTTCCAGGGCCAGGCATCCCTGCGAGTGCGGGCGTTCAGCGGCAGCCCCGGGCAGGTGAGAGCCC